TATCAATTTTATCATAAAAAACCTCTCTTTATTTTTATCTATTTTAAAGATAATATAAGTAAAAATATAAATTATTCTCAAATCTTTAATGTTAAGATAAAATAAAAAATAATTATTATAGGATAAATAGAGTAAATGATAAAAAGATAAATAAAATATTAGTAATTAATTAATAAATAATTGCATTTGGTTTTCTACTACTTAATTTAAGGACTTAATTAAAACATTTTTCAAAGTTTGAAAGTTGAAAGATACTTTTTCCTTTTATTTTTGGTTCCACGTGTCCTGTGACATAGCTTTCCGTTAACAAAAAGTAACGGCAGCTGGATGAATAGACTAAAATAGTACAAAAATAATAGTTTTTAAATCATTTAAAAAAAAATAAAAATTTTAAAGTAAAATAAAATTGAGATAATAGTTATTAGATTATTTATTAATTGTATAACATCAAATAGTATACTACTAATATATCCAGATGCTGGAAAGGAGAAAGTACCAAAACGTTCCGAGTCGAATAAAGCATAAAACTGACCCGTTTTGCTTCTTAATTGAGAACTAGAGGATTGGTAATGGAGCAGGTGGCACCTGATTCCATATAAGCAACAAAATAACCATAATTATCAATTGAAAATGAATATAAACCCTCACTCCAATTTGTGGCTGACATACTTACCGCCAATTTGTGCCCAAAAACTAGACTATGTCCGATCATCAAAGAGTCAGTCAGGTGATCAGAAGACTGCCAAACCATCTCCTTCTTTCTATCAAACAGCATAAGGTTACCATCAATAGTTAACATCAATTCTGAAACAGATTTACCTGCTGTTTTAGTATACCAAACCAAAGTGCTATCAACATCTTGCAGTGTTTAGATCCCCATGCTGGGAAAGTTGTAATTTTGCTCCACATCCAATCGGATTATTTCGATTAGCAGACCATACCATTTTTGGAATTGGATATGAGCCTACAGAAATGAAGATGGAGACAGCAAAGAGGCAGGTGTTGTTTTCTTCAACTTTGCAGTGGAAGCCACAAACAAAATATCCATTGACAAATATAGGTTTGAGTGCAACTCTTTAGAGTTCCAATTAGAGTCCGAGTTGTTGTTAATCCAAGAGACCGGAGACTTGACATTTGATGGGTAATCAAAATTAATTTCACCATTTATCAGAAGCAATGATGTTATTAACAGAGCTAGAAATTAAGTAGCCAATGGTGTTCCACTGCCCATCATCCGCTACCATTGTTTATTTCTTATGATGAGGAAATCTGATATGATATTGAGAATTGCTCTAAATTATATTAATAAGCTGCAGTAAGGTAAGGTTTCAAGTTAAACTAGTTCATATTATCATTAATAAACTTGAAAGGCAAAAGCGAATCATATCATCAGGTATGATTTCCATTATTTCTTACGAAAGTGTCTTTAGATGCTAATCAATTCAACATTTATGATAGCGAATATTTAAACATAAACTTTTTCTTTCGGTGCTCAGCATATAACTTTGAGTAAACGTCTAATTATAAGTCAATGTAAACTATTCCTTAACTTACTAATTGGGCTGTCAAGTCATTATACCTAATGTTTTCCTTTCGATTTCCATTTTCGTTGGGTACTAATTTCCCCTCAATTTCTTAATTCGGGGTGGTGCATTTTTCAGGAAAAGGAAATGCTTTGCTTTCTTTATAACTAACCCCTTCTTTCCGTTGGAAAAAATGAAACTTAATGTCGTCAACTACCAGGTGGCAGGCACCAAGTCGATCTAAAGACTCTCCTTCCAACATGTTATAATTAATAGAGCAAAAGCCCGAAGAGAATCACTCTCAACAGTCTAAGTTCTCGTCTCACAGCCCAACTCAGCAGCCATTTTTTTGCAAAGCATAAATCTCTCATACGACCATCCATTACAATTCACACTCAGACCTATGTTCCAATTACTCCATTAATAACGATCAGGACTTATGTATACCTTATCTTTAAAAAGTTTAGGCTCAAATGATTACTAATTAACATCTTAACATTTGTAAACTATTTACATTTACACCACAATTGAAATTTTTTATGAATTCCGCATGTTCATAATAGGAAAACGGGCGGCCATGATTTTTTCCAAATAATTGGGAATTAAAAAGATTTAAATGGCCTCGATCTAGTGTGATAATGTTTACAACAAGAGAAATTCTGGTGCTGCAACATGCCCAAAGTGTTGATTTTCGTGTGATGGGATTTTTTTTTTTTTTTTTTTTTTGGTTGGGAATTCGTGAGATTAGAGTTGTTTGAAATCCAAATGTAGTTTGGACTTTAGCAAAATGGTTGCGCCCCCGCGGAAAAAAGGCCCAATACCATTTCTTTGAAGCATGGACCAATGGGTGATAGATGGGTTTAATGAATTCGGGCCCAGGGTGGTATTTTAAGTCTGATTGAATTTTTCTTCTTCGCAAATTTTGGAAATCAACC